TAATTTTTAAGAATGTAAAGGGGTCATGAGATCAGAAAGTCTGGGAACTGCTGGTTTAAATAAAATATCCATGCAAGAGACTACTATGCAGCTATTAAATAGGATAAGTGAGTGAGTAAAGTTCTCCTAAGACTGACACGAAACCCAGAAACCATGGAGGAAAGCTGGCACTTGATTACATGAAAATCAAAAACCTCTTAAAAAAAAAATTCCATAAACAATGTTATAGGACAAATGATTCGGAAATGCATTTTCAACCTATTCCCCCTCCTTGGATGGGTTATCATCCCTAATATACAATGCTTGGATACAGACTTGAAAAGAGAATCAAAAAGAAAATAATAGACAAAAGAACTAAACAGACTGCCCACAGGTGAAAATAAAAATGATCAATACAATACAGAAAGTGTTTTGAAACTTCAAAGAAAGAAATGCAAATTTAAAACAATAAGACATTGTTTTCATAAATCAGACTAGGACCAATTCAACTGGCAATTAAAAGACTGTTCAACTTACTACTTTATTATAAAAATCCTCAGAATGGATTTTTATCCTTTATGGACTATTTGACCATTGGTATCTCACTATGTGGCAATAATCCCCATTGTCTAGAGAACTGGTTTGTTCCTCACTGGAGGACAGGCTGAACCTCAGGTCTCCTAAGAAAACACTACCAAAACGTGTCTGGACTATTTTATTTCAGTAGGTCTATCATGATAATGAAGAAATGATGACAACATATTTAGATGAATGAAACTAAACTATAGACAGGCTTGTGGGATCTTTAAAGTAAAGAGTAAAAGGCCCAGGACTGAGGGAATGAAAGGAATCGAAATACTTAAAGATCCTCAGAAGTTAATTCCAGTTTACTTTCCTCCACATTCTTACAATGTTTCTAGTTAGCCATTTTCTTCCCACCATCAGCTCTCAGTGAATTCATGTTAATCTTCATTATATAAACCAGAAAGACAACTAAGTAGAAATACAAACATACTGGGAAGTGATAGGGCAGAGTTAGGAAAAACCATATACTAAACTATTAAACTATTACACTATAACTATGAGAACTTAACTCATCCTAACTCTCCTATTCTAACTTATCTTTAAATACAAACCAACCAGACTCCACATCCCATAGCTCTCTTTTCTCCTTCACAGACCAACTTCAAATTGCCTATTTCTGCTCTATTCGTTTGTTTACTTTCTATTCAAAGTCTCAAATCTATCACCTACCCTACATACTTTCTCCTATGTTAGCAAGAACTCGTCATTCAATCAATCCAATGAATATTTGACCTTTCTGTGACACATATACTGTTGACCATCTTGTCTTTAAAACATATCATTTTCTTGGTTTCCATGACCAGCACTCTGTCCTAGTTTATATAGTTTATATGTCTATACTCTTCATAGGCATTCTCCCTCAAAAAAAAACCCTATGTGCTAATATTCCAAGCCTCCGTCATGGGTCAAGTTCACTTATGAGAACTCATTTACTACTGCAATTTCAATTACCATCAATTACCATTACTGATGAATTTCAAACCAATCTTTCAAACATTTCTCCTTTCTGAGCTCAAGATTCACACACAAAAGTTGCTTGCTAGGCTTGGGTCATCCAAGTGAAAACAGAATCCTCAACCTAACATATCTAAAACTAGTCTCATCTAACCTTTCCCTCCAAACCTGTCCCATTCACCATTTACCTTGTTGCCTAAGTCAGAAAACCTATGTGTCAGAGAGCTTACCTGTTCTGTAAAGGATGTTTAATATAGTGTTCTGGGTTAGCAACCTCCTGATTAGATTCTGTTTTCTCTTCTTCTGTAGGTGGGGGATTAGGAGTAGGGGTGGTTTCCTAGTGGAAAATAATTAAACATTATAAATTTCTTAACATGAAGAAATAACACTAAGAAATTTCTTAATTTCTACGACAATACTCGAAATTTGAGCCAATATTGTCCATATTATTTTTAAGGAGAAGAAATTACAGCAGAATCATTTGATAAAACAGAACACAGACCAGCCTCTAAGAAAAGCACCAGACTCTCCATTCTACCATTTCTTCATTAAGAGCAAAGGGTTTCTCTAATTTAAAAATAATAATAATTTTATATATTGTTATCGTCCACTTACACATCTTAATATCAGAAAGATTGTTAGAGACAATGCAACAAAGTTTGGGAAAAATAGGTACCTTTCTTAACATACCATTAAAGACCGTGCATGGTATTGGCAGTGGGATAAGGAGGGGCAGAAGAGTAAGAGTACAACTAAAGTTTGGAGAGTATAAAGATTATATCACAATGACAAAAAAGCTTATAAAGTGATCAAGTCAATACCACACAGGTTCTTGCCTTCATGTCATACTGTTATGACATATGGTAACTTAAAAGTTCAGTATCTGCTGTCATTTTCAATTGGCCTTAAGCAAAAAAACTGAACATAAATCTTCTTCTAGAAAAGACATAATTAACGCTGTCATCTAAAAATGTCAGGGAAAAAAAGGAGACTGGGAATAACATGTATTCTCCACATTACTCTATGTAGTTCTTCATCCTGTTATAAACTGGTACGAACAAAAGAATAGCCAAGAAAGGCACCAGAAGCTGAAACAAAAGCTGACACAAAAAAGGGGGGAGCATGCAACAAGGGTCTGTATATCAGATTTAAATCAAACCAGCAAAACAGTAGAGATATATATTCTCATTAACAAGATTATGCAAATCAGAGAAAGACCTCAGATAGGTGATACTCATTTTATAAAATAAAATACATTTTTTAAATCAATACGACCCCTCCAGAAACTACTCTTTACTAGCCTATAAACTCACTCAAGGCAGAGGTTTTATCTTGATTTTGCTCACAACTGTAATGGCGATGATCACAATGCTACACCCAATAGGAACTTATTGGCTTGATTACTTAACTGAAGAGATTTACTTATTTTTTCAGAGGTACTGGGGACTGAACCCAGGACTTCAGGCATGCTAAGCATGTGCTCTACCATTGAGTTATACCCTCCCCATTTAACTGAAAAGTTTAAACGTAGTTAAGGCCCTAAAATTTACATATAGTAGTCATTGCCTTAAAAAAAAAAAAGCAATAATTTTAACCAGCATTTTCTCATCACAACAGTTTAAATCTTCAAATAGATGATCATTACCAAATATTATTCCTTACTCTACTAGCTTAAAATTAATGATGGTCTCCAGACAGAGGCAGTTTGAATTGATAGAGAAAATAGGGAACAGTTAGGGACTGACAAGGCAGATGGACTTTGGTGGACAGGGTATCAGAGCAAAGTGAGCTGCAGAGGAATTAGTGTCAAAAATCTATGTAAAAATCCTTCACAAATCCTTGACTGATTCCTAAACTGTTATGTTTATAGTGCAACTCTGGGTGGTCTGGCAGAGAAGAGTTGAGCCAAGACTTCAGAGGTCAAACAGCATTAGGAAGAATGAGTTCAGACCTAGCTAGAGTGGATGGTTAAAAATCCTCAGCTTTCAGATGAAATCTTACAAAGGCCATGTCCTAGGAAACAGGTGAAATACATGTGCTTAACACATTTTAAAACTAATCCTTGACGGGATTAAAGCAATCTACTTATAAATTAACTGTCTTCAAGAACCAAACTCTACACCCCTGTGAGGAACATAACATAATCCTGAAGCTCTATGAATGTTATTTATAATACCTAGCAAACAATCAAACATTAGACATGCAAAAAAAATTTTTTTAAGCAACTGTTGATCAAGAGATTAAACTGTCAATAGAAAGACACTCAAACATGTTTCAGATAACAGAATTAGCAAAGTCTTAATAACTATGATTACTATGGTAAAATAGAAGGTGGGGAAAGATGGAGAAAATGGGAGTATTGAAATCAATTTTTTCAAAGAATCAAGTAGAAATGGAACTGCCAACTACAATGTCTGAAATTAAGAGCTCATTGAATGAACAACACAGTGAACTCAGCAGAACACAGGACAGGTGAACTTGAAAGAGAGGTCAATAAAAAATATTCAAACAAACACAGAGGGAGGAAATAGATGGTAAGAAATGTGGAAGATGGTTAAAAAAGTTAAAGAACAAGATGAGAAAGAATGGGACAGAAGCAATGCAGAAAGAAATAATAACCAAAACTTACCAAATTACATCAGAAACTCAAGCCAGGTTCAAAAAGCTGAGGAAAAGCCAAGCAGTATAAACACACACAGAACTACACCTGGGCCCATCAGACTCAAACTACTGAAAACTAAAGGCGGCAATATTAAAAGCAGTTAGGAAGGGGGAAAAAAACTACGTATTATTTCACAAGAACAAGAACAACTGCTAACTTCTCAATAGAAAATTATGGAAGCCATAAAACAACAGAACATCTTAGTGCTGAAAGAAAAAACTGTCGACTTAGAATTCAGTGCCTAAGAAAAATATCCTTTAGAAATAGAGAAATAAAGACACACAGACAGACACCACACGCGTAGACAGACACGCACTCATACTCATACCAGAAAGGTCCAAAGTAAGAGGAACACCATAGGAAAGTCTCAGGCTAGAGGGAAAAAAAAATCCCAGTTGGGAGCATGGAAGTGTAAAAAAGAAAGAAAAGCACTGGAAAAGGTAAATATGTAGATAAATATATAAAAGAATATTAATTGACAATTTGAAGGAGCAATAATAATGATGCCTTTTGGAGTTTAAAATAATAATGATGGTTCTACCAAAGGGCTGGGCATATATGTGTATGTGAGGTTGGATGTGTGAGTAAAAGATACTCTTCCTCCCAAAGTTAATACTACAAATTCTTTATTTTTTTTCACCTAAATTAAAAGATAAATGAGGGGGGAGGGTGTAGCTCAGTGGTAGAGTGTGTGCTTAGCATGCACAGGGTCCTGGGTTCAATATTCTGTACCTCCATTGAAAATAAATAAGTAAATAAACCTAATTATCTCCCCTCTGGACAAAAAAAAAGACAAATGATAAGTAAAATTTACTCATAAGTTCAAAATCCTCATTACAAACCATACTTTCACAGTATTTATTTACACCTCTTACCTCAGTAGCACATAGAAAACAATGAATTAATTACAATTTTGGGGGGGTCCAAAATGTCACTTCCTAACTCATTTAGTACTTTCTTTTCTCTTATTCTACTCTTTCACCCAGAAAATTTAGTACTTTCTTTCCTTTTAATTCTACTCTCTCACCATCAGGAGAATGATGGAAGACTCAGATGGTATCAAAAGTCTCTAGATACGTAAGAACTAAAAGCAGGTAATGACACAGAAAAAAAATATGGTCACTTCCTTAGAAAGTGTTCCTTTGAATTAAAAGTCCTACTTTAATTGAAGTTTTAGTCTTTATATTAAGAATATATAATTTTGGAGTTTTCCTATAACTGAAATAAAAAGTTACTCATCTTTAAATAAATATGTGAATGTGTGAATGAATATGCTAATTTAAAATCTTTCAGTCTTCACTTTTAGTATTACATAAACATGATAGATTTTAAGACAAATGCTCTAAAACATTCTAGAAAAAATGTTTATTGACCATAGACAATCATCTTTTCAGTATTTGAAGACTTTTAAAAATGTAAGTATAATACTGATATTTCATTTTTAGCCTTTTAACAGTTTAACAGATGTTCAAATTTTTAAACTTATTTGAATTTCTCAAATCCTCTTAATAAAGCAAAAGTGGTTTTAAGAGTCAATTGTTTTCATGACAGAATACCAAATACTCAAATAATCTACAAAAATATTCATTTACATGGCACAGATCAAATCTAATAAGATTCAGAAATCATTTTCATGATAGAAATTACTTATGAAAACATTAATGTTAAAAACGCATGTTTTCTCAGCACAATTTTCTGTTAGGTACCTGAGACTGAGGATCATCAGAAAATAGGTAAAGAGGAACTATGATCCTTGTAGCACCAACTTCACTAAATTCTCCCTGAAAGCCCCTAACAGGTGTTTTCATGGGATATGTTTAAAAGTGGATCTAATCAGATTTTTTAACATTTATATGACTGTCAAAGAAGTAATAAGATTATTACATGATCTATATGGGAACTAAAAAGTACAAACTTCTCATTTTTATGGTTGCTTCCTATAGAGCAGACAGTAAAATAATTTTAAATTTACATTCAGTTTAAAAACAAAAAGTTTTACTGCAAATTCCCACAACATCCCTCTACCTACTCTCTCAGGCTGGTGGTCTCCCCCAAAGGCAAATTTCATTGAAAATAATGTCTTAAATAGCCATGTTTTACCAAGACTTCGTTTGAAAATTATCCAGACAAAACAGGAAGGGCTAATTTAACAGATTATGGTTACTCTTAAAGTAATCAAATACAATTTTAACCTAAAAGACAACCTGCAGGTGAAAAACCACTGTATAACACATTTCAGGTGGGTAGAATGGAGAGCAAAGTCATGAGATGGTGCAGTGCTTATCTAGAAGATGGTAAGGAACCAGGGAGACTGAAAGTGAGGGTTCATGAAACCAAAGAGCTAGAATGGCAGGCTGAAACAAGACTGTAAAAGGTCTCAAAGGTCAGACTAAAAGGTGTGTCTTTCAGCTTGTGAGCAATGGAGGCCATTAATTGACGGGTCAGTGATTAAATACAGATGACAAGGGAATAGAAAAGATAGCCAGTTTGAGTAAAAATTATTAAACCTGGTTTTGGATTTGCTGAGTTTATGAGATCCAAATAAAAATGCACAGAATTATAATTTAGTGGTCCCAGGGCTCAGTAGCTGTCATGGCAACAGAAGAAAGTTGAAGGGGAAGAAATAAAGTCAAGCAAAAGTGGGACAAGTCTAACAATTAGCTGCAAAAAATACC